TTTTTCTATCTGTCTCTCTGTAGTGGAATCCACTCTACTTTATATCCTTTTCTCTCCGGTTATTATTTTCACAACCTTATTTTATATTCCAGTTAGTTTCTTCAATTGGTTACTGCTAGCGGAAGTCGTTTACTAATCTTCCACTATGTTATGTGGTTTATTAGATACCCTCTTGTGCATCGTATTTGATTTTGTAGTTGGCTCCCAGAGGGGGTACTGCTATTCTTTTGTCTACCAAGGGAGTCATGTGTTGAACGTGTACTATCCTTGGGAGCTACAGTTTGAACGTGTACTCTTACCTTGCCAAAGCCTATACTGAATCACCATTCTGTAGTTTACCCTAACCCTTGCAAAATCACTCATCCAAACAACTGTCCACATAGTTCTCTTACAAGTAAAGACAACTGAAAATGCAACTTGCGTTCTATTTTGTCTTCCAACACTTGCATCAAACATTCTCCTAGAGATGTGTAGCTTCCCTTTTCTAGGTTAGTTTTTTATTGGCTATTCTGTGGTAGTTCAACTTGTGTATTTCCATCTTTTGGTTGTGTCCGGGTCAGTTAAAGTCTATTCTGCCATTCCTAACTCTTAGATCCTTGAATGCAGTGCCAATCCCTGATTGAAGAATTGTCAGCTTCCCACTCAACGGACTTGCAACAGCGTGCATATGAACTTCAAGCTGTCATTTCCTTGGATGCTCAAGCTGTCGAAAACATCATGCCATCAGATGCAAGTTCTAAAGAGATCGAGGTTGGTTTCTTCTAGTATCTACTGTCTTCGATGCTGTATTTAAGAGTTAGTCTGTGTTGTTTGTGCATTTGCATATACCTGGAGGTTCCTTGGATAAAATGTCACTTAGCTTTTATCATATCTTAAGCACCATGTTTTTTCCAGCTCCCACCACACTGGTGTGCTTGCGTTAGATCACATTTGTCTTTTTCTTAACCGTCCATGATGCACAGAGTTGATATCTTATGAATTTTTAGCATCCTTTAAGTCCAACTTTTTTGCAGTTGTCTGGAATGTGTTGCCCTGAGATCTAACTGGATGAGATGGTCAGCTTTAGGTCTTCATTTCTTTGACAGTTCTTCAGCATACCAATGTCTTAATGTCCAATTTTTGCTAGTGCTGACTGCTGAGTTTTTGTTTGTTTGCATTTTGTACTATATTAAGATCTTCCCCTTATGTTTGCAGATTGATAAAAGCCTTCCTTTCCTAAATGATCACGTTGAACGTGCAATAGAAAAAGGAGCTCAACCGTACATCCCAGAATGTGAACGGTCTGGGTTTTCAAATGCCAGTTACTTGAACAGCCAAGACCTGCACGACGTTCCTCCTCCACATGGCCTTAGGTTCGAAGCCTACGAGCTTCCAAAGCAGCCCTCTGTGCCCCTTACAACTCCTCCCATATCTATTGGATCATCCAATGAACTCATTGCAGTTCCTGAACCGGCCTACGACCGTGGGAATCAAGCTGCAGTATCTGTTCCATCTTCATCCAATTCAGGACCTGCAGAGGTCAAGTTACGACTCGATGGGGTTCAAAAAAGGTGGGGTCGGCCAACTTACTCATCTTCGTCACCCTCTCCAAGTGCTGCTCCTTCACAGGATACTGTTAACGGGCTAACTGTATCGAATGGAGCAACATCAGTTACTCCTGCTATTTCTAAAGGACGAGAAACTACTTATGAACCAACAAGGAAGTCACAAGTAGTAGAAATATCTCCAGAGAAGCAGAAGCTTGCGGCATCACTGTTTGGAGGTTCATCAAAACAAGAAAGGAAGTCGTCTTTAGGTGGGGGCCACAAGACTGCTGCCAAGCCAAGTGGTGGCCATGGAGCCGAGACGTCGGTTAAGAAGATGGCTGTCCCTGCTCAGCAGCCACCACCTCCAGATTTGCTCGACTTTGGCGAAACAACTGTAGCAACCTCGGGTCCGTTGATTGACCCATTTAAGCAGTTGGAGGGGCTACTCGACATGGTTGAGCCAACTTCATCTACCAAAAATCATGGTGATGTCAATGCCACGAAAGTACCAGATGTTATGGCCACTTTCGGGGACACCGCTACTGCAGTTGAGCAAGGGGGCAATCATTTCTCGAGTATTGAGGATGTCGATAATCTTATGTCCGGTTTGTCATCTGCAACAACAGATGCGTCCTCTGGTGGAGGGATTGCAACTCCGCAATCGACTGCCCATATCAGTAAAGGTCCGAACCTTAAAAATGCCTTGCAGAAGGATGCATTGGTAAGGCAGATGGGTGTGAACCCATCAAGCCAAAACCCCAACTTGTTCAAGGATTTGCTTGGCTGAGAATTTGAGATCTGATGTAGTCTTCTTGGCTCATCAAAGCTCGAGATCACTTCGTACATTCACTACTCATTATGCACTGGTGACGGGCAATGCATTTCAAAGTGCCTACTCAGAGCAGAACAGGGGAGGAGCTTGCCGATAAACGAGAGCTCTATGCTGTCGCCATGCCTTGCCATGGGGAGAGAGAGTGGCTGGTTGGTTGAAGATCAGGTACAGGTTTTTGTGTATTTTGGTGGTGTGTGGACAAAGAGAGTATAGTGAGTTTGTCTTTGGTTTGTTGATCAAGAAACAGGGAAGTTACCACTAGTGTACATGATTGAGTTGGGATGGATTCATTCATTCCCCACAGTTTTTGGCCTGAAATTTGTGGCGGAGCAGAGCTCGTTTTGATCGGGGCAGCTTTCTCTCAATGGATTCCTGGCTTCTTTTCCTTGTATCTCTACCATGTATGCTTGTGTTGCTCTTTCTCTTTGTTTCACCCAAATTGACTTTCCATTGGGACCTAAAGCTTATATAATAATGCAATCACCGGATAGTTATATTCGTTGTTCGTCTCTCTGTTTTCTGCATCACGATTTGTCTGGTAAGTGAAACTGATACCATACTGATAGTGTTCTGTAATCTGTACTGTTGTTGTACACGAACGTAGATAACACACATACCTGTAGAGACACCGAACAATTACAATCATAGAGCTGGCTGTCTTACGACGAAGTCGAAAAACTTGTTCGATATTCAGGCCAGCCGGCACTGCAACGGTCCAGCCATGGCAGCGGGTTGGGGGCTGAAAGTCCAGAACGGTTCTATCACAGCTAAATATCACCCCAATCGACCTACATCACTTGAAAAGAAACAGAACTTTTCAGTGATCAAAATGAGCTTTCACCATAATTAAGTGACTATGGTAGTAATTTACACTCTGGATTCAGAAGTTCAAATACAGTACAAAAACACGCCCAAAAAATCAAAATCAGTTTTCCCACTCTTTCCTTCTTCGCCTTTGTCGTCTCCTCTCACTCACTGTCTGTAATGGAGAAAAGGGAAATTGGGACGAAGGCCGGTTCAAGTTCCAGGGAGTCCGATCTCATGAAATCATTCAGCCTTGCGATTCGTTCTCTCCTCACTGGGTGCTCTAATGAGGTTCGCTTCGTCCCTACTTTGTTTAAGTTTGGCAATTTCTTCGATGGATTAAATTTTGGTTCTTTTTTCATCAACAAGCTGAGGGAACAATACTGAAAGGGCAAAGCTTGTGGTCTGTGGATGTATTTTGTTCGGTTAGGATTTTCTGAAAGCGTTCTCGAGGTTTAGCCGTCCAGAACAGGAATGGCTCCGCAGATTGTATATTCAGGTACTTCGTCTTCTTTCCCTTTCATTTTGGAATAGTTTGTAGCAGAAGCACGGGGAATGAGCTCATATCTCTAAGAAACCCAAAATTGACTGTTCATGTCTAGCAAGCGGCGACCAATGTTTCTAAAATCGCGTGACAGTGAAGTAAAGTGTTCTCTGGACAAGTGTGGTCTAGGGCTAGTCGCAATACTTCTTGTACGCATGTATTCCTTTTATTGCCCAGTGACTGATGCTGTGAAATTAACTTCTTGACAAACTAGATTCCAGAGTTACTCTGCTGTTCTTGAGGCAAGTGATTGGCAACTGTGACTAGTGAACGTGTGTATACTGTGCTGACTGTCAATAGTGTACAATTGACGTCCATTTCGCAAGGACATAAGTGTTTTCTTCTGGGTTCATTGCTATTTTTATAGCTGGATCTTGTCTGAGTATGATACTAGAACTTCGGTGCTAATAAAAATTTGCATGGTGTTCAATTGCAGGTTATTACCTCTTTGCACCAAAGAATAGAGGTTTGCACTCCATTCACAACTTGTTTAAGTTTGGACCATAGATTAATGAACAAAATACAGTGGTCGAGGCCTCAAATAACTCAGTCAGATTACTCCTTGGTCATAGGCGTTATACTGGATTGTCGACATTTTGATTAAGTACCATGTTTCCTTGTGAGAATACAGTTCTCTTTATGTTGTTGATCAATGGAAAATGTTACCCTGTTATGTCAGTCAAAGCAGTTATGGAATACTGATAACTCATGGGAACATAACTATAGCTGTCAAACAACATATTGATTAACTGTATTGTAAGGAACTTATCAGCAACTGTATGCAAGTTTGAACTGTTGGTTGCCTTAACTGTGAGCTGCTGTGTGAGTTTTGTAGTTGAACAAAGGTAACCGTCTTCCCTAGGTTATGATGATATTCTGGACTGCCTTAGTCCTCACAGACTATGATGTGGAATTAACAGTCAAAGGAGTCTGATTGCCTTAGTTTCAGGGAGAAAAAAATGGCAAAATGTTTGCCTGTTTTTGCCTAGATACTGGTAATCACATAAACATGGACACCATCTTGCAAAAGTTATAAGAATCATAGTTAACATCATCCTCTAAATCCTTCATATCACATATTTCTTGTTTAGTCAGCTTTGCATAATTGCTGGTTTTGTTCTCCTTTTGACAGAACGAGTTTCAGGATTTGTGCGGTCAGTTGCAGGTACAGTTCTTTTCTCTCCCGGTTCTTGATAATTGCTGATAGCAATTTATATCTTGGATAAAGGCTGAAAGCCTATTAGTCAATTCCAATTTCTACCTTTGCGAAAGACTTATTTAGTTATTGGAATCAGTGTATATCTTATTGAAGTCAGGACCAGATAGAAACTTGATCATTGGATTCAGGTTTAATTTGTGCAGCGATAGTAGATGTCAGTAGCCAACATTGGATGTATCTTTTTCTGCATTTAATTTGCTTCTGAGATTTACTAAAATAAGTTTACCCAAATGGAATTTTATATGGATAAGAGGCAATGGCTTGGAGATGCTACTTTGGCTATGGCTTGTACAATGCACAATCAAAAGAAAATAGAAAAAGGATTGTTCACACGTAGTCTCTTTGTGAAGCTTTGATGCTAGGTAAATGGCTCAATGCATGTGAAATCCTAGGAACACCTTGATTCACATTTTCTAGTCGTAAAAGTTCTTTCACTGGCTTCTCTAAGGCCCCGTTTAGCATAATTTTCATCTTCTTGTGTTTTAGTAGGCTCCAATTCGAGAGCTCTTCACCAACTATGTGGAGGAACAGAGGGTTTTTCCTTTCTGTAGTTTCGGTTTACCATCTTATATGTTTTCTTTGCCTCTTATATTGTATTTATTTGTGGGACAAAATCCTATCATGCCTGGAACTCGTGGAATTTGGATCCTTTGTTCCTAGATAAGTTACTTCGGAAGGCTAGATTTTGTTTTTTACTCCCCCTATGTTTCTCTCGTGTAAGGATTACTTGTTTTGCAGGTGAGGACCATTCTTGATACCGTGGAGCAACTTGTGGAGGAACAGACTTTGGACCCTTTCTTCCTAGATAAGTATGCACCGTATCAAAGCAATCACAATTCTCTGCTAGGTGAACCTGTGAACACATCAATATTGTGATCGGAAGCATTGATGATTTGTGATCCCCACAACTTTGACTTCAAAGTGTTTGCATTGGAAATTTTCGTTGCGGTTTCTTTATCTCACACAGAACACCTCATTTGTTGAAGTAGTTTCTTCGCATTGACTCGCCGAGTACAAGAAATAAACTTTTGGTGAAGAGAGGAGTTCAAATCTTTTTGGGTTTTCACGAAAGTTCTGTAATTTTCAAACTTAAACTTCAAGTAGTAAGGTGATGCCATCATTGACTGTTCCATTCACCACAATAGACAAGTTTTGAGATCTAGTGACCATAAGAGGAGGAAATATTGCTTATCTAACTGCTCTACTGCAGCGTTTTAGTTGCTACAGTAGCTTAGGCGCTGATCTCATTGTTCTAACTACGAAGAATACTAGTATTGCCATAACATGAATGCAGTTTGCAATGTCTGTTTGCATTTGTTCCATTACAAAGAGCACTCACTGTCTTCATTCATGATCCATGGACATGAATTTGACTGAAGGTGTTGTTTAAACTTTCTAGGATAGAATTAGCAAGGCAAGATTTGGATAATTTGTCAGCATCAAGAAAAAACTAGAAGTGACATGGTATTTCTTCATTAGATGTTTTGTTGAAGTGGATTGCCTTCCCTACAGGAGTAATGTCGTGGATGTCTCTTCCAGTTTGTCAAATACGAAAGAGGAGGAAATCCAATATCTGATGGGCGTTCTGCAAAAGGTTGGTATTAGCCTTCTATAGCAGCTCTACAATTTGCAGTTCTTACTCTTTTAAGTAATTAATAGTGACAGTAACCTCTATGATTCATATCTGTTTCACACACAGAATCATAAGCTTCAACTCTCAGAAGATGATATTCTGCTTTGTGTGTTGGGTTGGGAAAAGAGAAACAAATAGGGATGGAGTAAAATTTTCTCCTATACAAGTTCCCATGCAGTTCATGTTGTTTTAAGCAACCAACACAATTATTTGAGGATAGCACACTAATTTCCTGTCTTAGTTTGATCAACCTTACTGCTGACTGTCATTTTAATTCCATTGAAAGGATGCTCTAGAATGCACCCCATTGCCTTCTTCTTGATGACACTTATTTGCAGGTCGAAGTTTTTACCAGGCATACGCATACGATTATGAAATCTCAGCTGACGGAATCTCTTTTCTTTGTCAGGCAGAAGAACAGAATCGAACTACCCGAGATCATATCGATCTACTAAAGACAGCAAAAAAGGGTTTCTCAAGAACTCAGATTTTGTGAAGGTACTACGACATTTGATTGTTTGGCTCTTTGGCATCCATGATAAGCTAATACCTGATAGATTGCTTGAGAAGTTAATGATGTTTTATGTATTTTTCAAGATCATGTTGAATTCTTGATGGGTACACTGCAGTTGCTCTCGGATAGGAAAATTAAGTACTGCTAATTGTGATGCAGGTCTATGTTTGTGTGTAGAGTTAACATCAAAGAATGAAGGGATGAGGGAGAGTAATGACTTGCTGTATGATCCCCAAGTCAAAGGAGATTTTTGGCTCATCTTTGAAATTTGTGATGATTTGTTTTATTTGCAATATGATAAATTCTTGTAAAGTAAATCGATAATTGTGACAAAAGAAGGGAAGCAGAGATATCCCGTTAATTTTTTATTATGAATGTGATGTCAAAACTATCATCTACTCGAAGTTGTTGTAATCCCTACTTCGTAAATGTGATCTCCTAAGTTCTTTCGGTTGCATCTCACTCATCTTTTTCCTAGAATGCATAATCGACTTCCCGACTAGGGGTTGGGGAGTAGGATGGGTAAAACCATCATTACAACCAAATTATACCCAAATAATTCACCAATCAAATTGATATGTTGATCAACTTATATTTTTAGATCAATCTAAAAAAGCTTATTAATGATATTTCAATTATGCAAATATTTGATTTCGATTATTACTAGTGACATTCAATAATTATTTAAAAAAGTTATAATGACGTTTTCTAATAATAGCGATAAAGATGATTGTGGTTGCCGTCATAATTACATAGCCTAGTTGAGTTATTAGGGTAGTACTCAAATATTGATTTTCTCAGTATCATCAAATTTTGAAGGAAAAAAAAAGCTTATTCTTATTTATAAGATTAAGGTTTACTTAACTATTTACCTAACCCAAAATTCAGTTATTAGGTAATTTAGGACACGAGGAGTTGGCTTTTCTTCTGGAAGCCTGTTTGCAAAAAAATTGTGCCGCCAACCCTTCCCGCCGTTCCTGGCTGGTGCGCTGTGATACAAGTACGGAATTGCAGGAAGTGGGGCTAGTAGAGAAGAAGACTCAGGCGAAAGTAACGAGTGATTTCTTTTCCTTCCGGGTAAGGGTAAATCTTCTCTTTTCTGCTCATCTTATGCGCGTATATAATCTATCCATATATTCGGTGCAGACCCGATTCTCAACTGCAGTAAGATACGGCAAAAAGCTCACACCTTTACTATTCCAAATCGAGTATTTGATTAGCTTAGGCAATTGGTTTGAGCTGTTTCCATGGCGGAATCTTTCTCCAACCGCGGGGATTGCTTTGGTTCCCACATTAGGTTATGTTGTTTGTGCTAGTCGTTGATGTAAGGTTAGTGAGATGAATGGCTCTCATTATGGGAAGACAAGGAAAAACGTTCCCTTTTCGTGCTATCAAAAGCTGTTATCTCGTTAGGGGTGTGATTTCCAGGGTTCAGAAGGCTGCCTCAGTTTCAATTCACAGCCGATGTATGGCCATTCAGAAGAATTTCAGCAAGTTCCATATGGATGATAAATGCAGTAAACGGTATCGGCTTTTGACTTACCAATCTTATTCCAGTACTACTCCTCAGCATGAAAGGCTATCTTGGGAAGTTTCCCCTCGTGCTGTTCTCTTGAGAAAGCTCGAAACTGCTCTGCATGACCACCAACTAGATGAAGCCTGGGTGAATTTCAATGGCTTCAAAACCTTGTATGGATTTCCTCCAGATGATCTAACGAGCAAGTTGATCATGGAGTTTTCATACTCTGCTGACCCTTGTTGGTTACAAAGAGCATACAATTTAGCTGTCCTCATTTGTGAAGAGCACTCGAAAAAGTCGCTGCAGGTTGATATCCTTACTAAGCTCTCACTCCCCTTAGCAAGAGCACAGATGCCTGTTCCAGCCTCTGTGACTCTTAGACTGATGCTGGACAGAAGGAAGCTGCCTCCAATGAATGTGTTGTGGTTGGTTCTTTTCAACATGGCTAAGACCGACACTGGAACTCATCTCGCATCGAATTTCTTGATTCAGATTTGTGATTGTTTCCTTGATTCGAGTGCGAAAAAAGATCAACTGGCGAAGCTGGTTAAACCAGATACCATGACTTTTAACATTGTTCTGGATGGTTGTGTGAGGTTTAAATCGTCTCTAAAAGGTCAGCAGGTTCTGGAGTTGATGTCGCAGATAGGGGTTACTGCTGATGCACACTCCATCACTCTCATTGGCCAGATCCATGAAATGAATGGCCTGAGGGACGAGGTCAAGAAACTTAAATATCATATCGATGGGTTACCATCTACTTTTCTCTGTCACTACCAGCAGTTATATAATAGTTTGTTAAACTTGCACTTCAAATTCGATGACATTGATGCTGCTGCTAAGCTCATCTTGGGTATGCACATTCCACGGAATTCTGCTACTATTCATGAGAAATATAGAAGGGAATCCCAAAAGCCCCATCTTGTTTCCATAGGTTCTGACAGTATTAGGTCTGGCTTGAAGATGCAGATTGTGCCTGAATTATTGGTGAAGGATTCTATCCTACAGTCACAAACTGAACTAGAGCTTGTTACTTTTAGGAATGGGAAAATTCTCCTGAGGAAACGAGCACTGGCGAAGCTTGTTGGTGGTTGCCGGAGGCATGGTAGGATCAGCGAGCTGTCAGAGGTTTTATATAGCATTCAAGAAGACTATCATAAACTGGAAGGATCAAATTTATGTTCCGAAGTCATTGAAGCTTGTGTTCATGTAGGGTGGCTGGAAACTGCTCATGACATCTTGGATGACATGGAGAAACTTGGTGGTCGTTCAATGAGCTTGACTACATATATGACACTTTTAAAAGCATACTATGGGAAACAGATGTTGAAACAGGGAAATGGATTGCTAAGGCGAATGCGGAAGTCGGGTTGGCTTGTAGATGTTCCTGATGAAGTGGTAGCATCCTCTTGTTCGTCTGAAATATCTGGTATAGAATATTCTTCTTCCAAATGTACCTCAGGTCTGGCAGATTTCTTGTTTCAAGAAGCAGATGGTGAAGAAAAGGTTATGTCTCCTACAGTGTATGAGTTGAACTCTACTATATACTTCTTTTGCAAAGCCAAAATGATGGAAGATGCTCTGAAGACATACCGAAAAATGGGGCACATGGAAATCCAACCCACAGTACAAACTTTTGCGCATCTTGTGCATGGGTACTCTTCTCTAGGAATGTACCGGGACATTACCATTTTGTGGGGGGACATCAAGTGGAACATGGAAAAGAGTAACTTAGCTTTGTGTAGGGACATGTACGAGTGCTTGCTTCTGAACTTCCTTCGAGGTGGGTATTTTGAGAGAGTGATGGAGATTGTCGATTATGTGAAAAAACAGAACATGTATGCTGACAAATGGATGTATAGATGCGAGTTCTTGAAGCTTCATAAGAATCTTTACACGAGTTTGAGAGCCTCGGAGACGAGAAATGACGCACAAAAAAAGAGGCTCCAGCATGTCGCTGCATTTAGAAAATGGGCTGGAGTAGTATGAGCTCTCTAGAGAGGCTCGCTCGGCCAAGGGCCCTAGACCTCACCGCATCCTAGAGAGGCTACAAGACAATTGAAGGTTTGTCTTCAATCTACACAAATGTTTTTCCCCTTTTCTTTCAGATAGTTCTTTCATGTTTTCTTCCACATTCCGGAGGCATGTAAGCGTTTTACTTCAGATGTTCTTTAGTGGTTGAAGCTGCAATAATACTAACTCAGGAAATCCAAGATGCTACCCTGCATAACCAAAGCTTTTTAACTATGACAAAATGATGATCATGGTTTAAATTTGAATGAACATGAACTCATGCAGAGTTAATGGTTTATTGAACAGAATCGGAAGATGTGGATATTCAGCAGGGGGGAAAAAGATAACTGTTTTCAGTTTTGGATGTTTAATTGGGTGTAATTCATTACTTTCAGGAGCAATGGTACAGAGTCACGTCTGATCTCGGCAGGAAAAGAAGAGGAGCTCAATGACTTAGATCACGGGCATTATCGACAAAAAGGTGGTCGTAAATGCAATGGCCATCTCTTTGGTGTTGGGGGTGAAGCAAAAGGTAATGGGGCCTTGATCACTCATTCAAATAAGTAAATGAAATTATATTAGCAACTCTATTATTTGAAGGCATTAGAGTTTTACTTTGGCGAGGAGAAGAGGTGAAGTAAGATATATACTTGCTGGAAGATTTCAGATTATGCAACAGTTTTGAGGTGTGTACAGAGTTGCTTGATCACAGCATGTTCAGATTGATACATTTGCTGTAAATCGCAGGCCAGTTTCTCGCGCATCAGTGCGCGAATCAACTTAACGTAGAAGCGCGCTCCTGAAGCCTTCAGGGATCCTTTGCCAACTTCTTCATTTCCCCCACAGCCCCCAGGAGCACATCGATCATCCCAGTCAACAAAACCATGTCGACGACTAGTGTTTCTTCGTAATGCCAATAATAAACTGCAGCCTTTTATGATGCCATTTTTTGTATTTCTATCAAGTGGGCCGGTCGAATGGAACTAGAATGACAAGGTTGCTCATTGAAACGGGAGAGCATAGACAAGTGACAAGTCTGTCCCTTCGAGTTATTGCACTTAAAAAATAAACTTCTAATCATTTCAGTAAAGTAAAGATAATCTATCACCAGCACGGTTCTATGGTGTAGTGGTTAGCACTCTGGACTTTGAATCCAGCGACCTGGGTTCGACTCCCGGTAGGACCTCTTCTTTCATGCTTTGCCACGATGATTTCTTTACTCGTTTTTGCAGCGGCCTGAGTCATAGGAATCGGGACCTGTCAAGAACCCGTTGATTCCAATAAATAATTCGGGTTGTCGGGAGAGATTCAATTCTGGATCATATAACACATACTAACACCCCCCTCAAACGAAAACCACCATATATGGACTTGAAGTTTGCACAGGTATCACCGTATCAGACATCATATATGCTAACAAATGGGGGTTACCAATAATTCGAGTTGTTTAGAGAGGTTCAATTATGGATCATATACCACATAATAACAACCCCCCCCCCCCCCCCCCCCCCCCCCCCCCCCCCCCTCCTCCCTCTCAAACGAAAACCATCATATATGGGCTTGAAGTTTGTACAGGTATCAGACACCATATATATGTTAACAAACGAGGGGTTACCGGGATTCGAACACAAAACCTTTCGATTACATAAGGGCTCTGATACCATATCAATAACCAGTTGATCCCAATAAACTCGTACTATCCATACTCTAAATAGGACAAACCAAAGTGGCAACTGGGTTTCGTCATAGAAATCAGTAAGCAGCATGCAGTGAATTTGAATCCACCCAGAATTCAAGATCCTGAAACTGCACGCAACGCAAAACGCAATCAAAACGCGGCCTGGTGATCTGGTGGTCTGGAGCAGTGCGTACTGAATTCATCACCATCTCTATCTAATCTAGTACTGGCCAACATAACAGAACACACACAGGAACGTGAAACACGTGTGCTTTTATCCATGGCGGTCTCGTGGAGGGTGCAGCTTTATCCATGGCCACGCAAACATATTAACGCAGCAGATAGATGTCTGTACTGCCTGCCAAATTTGAACGGTCGAAAAACCCCGTGGCTTACTGTCCTTAACCCAGCTTACGTCGTCTTTGAAAGAAGCTGCTAACACATACAGAGTATTAGAGTATCGTTATTCGTTACGCGTAGTACGAATAGTATTGTGTTATACAACGACTATTAAGTATGTGATTGGGGAGAGTTATATTCCTTATTAGAGTTGTAGAAGTTAGGTTAATTTCCGTATTAGTGTTAGGGTTATTATAGAAGTCAGTCTCTGTACTCTGTATAAACCCAAGTAATTCCAATAATAATACACAACAGGTTCCACCGTATTCTGATTCATCAACACACCGAGAGAACGGCTGCTGCAAATATCAACTTAAGTACCTACCTACGTGTCTCTCTCTCTCTCTTTCTACGTACTATACATTGGCTTAGTGTACGATATGTCAAGAGAAGGAGAACAAGTTGGAACAGAACTTAGTCTCTGTTCTCTGCTGGTCCAGTCTCCCTCCCTCTTTTTTCCTTGTACTGTTTCACATGCATGCATATCTCCATGCAATGGGAGGCCAACACCTGACGGTTTTCTGACAGCGACCGCGACGATTAGATTTGAAAGCGTTTGTGTCAAAGAAACAGTCGTACGTCTCCCGCTCGCTCTCCGCTCTAAATCGCAACAATCTGTCGAGAAAAAGTGCGTAGGTCTTTACCAAATATCGTACTGAAAAAAAAGTATTGAAGATGCGGATACTTATTGTTGTGTCGGAATGGAAAAAGTTCCATTTCGTTCGAATGTATTTGCTAAAACCCATATTGACGACTGATTCGTAATGTAATTATGTCATGCGCGCCTCACGAAGATTGACTCAGTGTAAATTATATCTCTAGGTCTAGGTGTCTTCAACTTTCACCAACTATTTCTTCAATGGAATGTTAATTTTTTTCCCTCTTTTTTCTTCTCGTCGAGTCCATTATTGTGGCGTTTAAAACTTGAGAGGGATGAAGGAAATAAAGAGAGGGGGGACACCTGTGCTTTTATAGAATAGAATTTAAGGACTGAATGATCAAAGACTAAAATAGAATATAATTTGTGGGTGAAGTCGACGAAGGAAGTTTTCTGAAATTCAAACTTTTTGTAGCAAATTCTAATGAAAGTTCAACACAAAGGGAATTTTTCTCTACATTCTCATGATCACAATCCTTACAGATTTGAATACAGGTCGATATTTTTTCGTCCCGCACAATGATATCAAAATTCAATTCAAACTTTGATGCAGTTAAGTTGACAACGCATATGATATAATAGAGCTCGAACGTTGAACAAACAATATCATAGACCAAAACACAAGCGGTACGACTGTATGAGAATTGTTTAATGTAAGTTATGATTTAAAAGTAACATATATGTATTAATTGATGGAATTGGAAAAGTAAAATCAACGAGTTTAGAGTTTCGATATTTTGAAATTTTGGTGCATGAAAGGAAGAGGAGAGGAGAGGAGATGAGATGCGGTTGGTTGTATGTAGCCAAGGAATTGAGCGCGAGACGGGCAATGACTATAAAAGTGGGGCGAGAACACCTAAATTCACCATAAACCCGATATCCAATATGTTCCTGGCGGCTACTACCCGTATTTTCCCCATACCCAGTTTAATACGGAAATTTCTCTCGTTGACTGAGCTAAGGTAGATACCCAGGCATAATTACCATGTAACTCTAAATTTTGTTGCAATTACTATAATATTTTTTTTGTGGTCTAGTTGTGAATTATTGATTTGTGAGCATTATTAATGGCTGACTTTATTCTAATTTTGACCAAACCCCCTGATGAAATTCAATTCGCATCCCTAATCCCTATTGCCTCTGGGGTTGACATTTGCAAAAATCATAACGATATTAATTAATAAAATGGCAACTACGTACGCACAAACCTCATTCCAAAAACCATGGATCAGCTAGTTAATTACTCGATCAACGGGCTGAAGTGCTAAACAATATTCTAGGGTTCAGATACAAAGTCCATTCCCTTTAAACCCCGATTATATCATCGTATCATCATATATGTGATAATACGCTGACACGACACGATTATATTTTGTAGTCATTATATTATGATGTCGTGAACGATACTATGACCGGATTTTGCAGTACGTAATTTTGTATAGTATCCACTCTCATATTCTATTCGGCACACAGGATAGCAAATTGAGCGATCACAAATTTTCAAGATCATAAATTTGAGCGATGCAAGTAAAAAGTTGTCACTAACGATTAAATTCTAAAGTAAATTTCCACCACCGCCATTTTGTATGCATGTGGCGCAAATGCACAATAGTTTTGACTAACCATATTTCATATTCCACTAACGATGTTATATGTCTCCCATTCAGTACAAAAAAGAAGAAGATAACGATGCTATAAATATTTGTTAAAATTATCTCTTATTTTTAGAAGAGTGATATTGATTTTTATATTCATATGTTGTTAGTCTCCCATTACTGACAAAATTAACCATATTCTTCATTTATATGTCACTAAAGTTCTTTTTAGTTCTCTTTTGTTGTCATATGTTGTGATAATATGAGTAGACAATACAATAGAAATTAGCGAAAACCCGTGAAACCATTTTAAATAGCTTTTTTATAGTTTTCAAAAGTTGTTTCTTGTGCGATTCTATTAATTGTTGAAATAATTTTATTCAAGAGTGTCTAATCTCACTAGACTCATTTTCTACATAATAATTCCTCTTCATTTGTGCAAACCTCATCCCCGATACCCTATTGCTAATATATTATTTTCATATCCTTTCTCTCTCAATTTTCTCATCTCGCTACGCCAGAATATTCCTCTCGTTATTTTCCTACCTTTGTCTTAGTCTCAACATTTATACTAAACGGGTCCAAGGAAGTAACTAAACACATTTACGTTCCTCTTTGTTAACTAACTCGATTTCTTAGAATTTGCATGTTTCTGCTTTCTATTTTCATGTTATTGTGGTTGTACCTCTATTGTTACAATTCTACTTCAATCACAATAACGAAACTATGCTAAACAGGGTGACATAAGTAACTAAACAACAATAGTGCCTTAAGTTCCCGTTACACTTACTCCTAGTAAATTACGTCCCTACTATTTAATTATAGTCAGTAATATAATGTAGTTCCTATGATCCAACGTGGAACCAAGTAAAAAAAATGTTAGGTTAATTATCGTGAAAATCCATTTGGATCATATATTGATTAAGCAGCCACACTTGTTGCTTGCAGATTTTGCTAAACGCACCTCCCTACGCTATGAGTTGATATGTCGTTGAATCGCAATCAACCTATCGTAGTGCGTGATCGTTTCAAGAGTTGAAATGAATGAATTTATCGTTTAGACGAAGCACGCGGTTGGCATTTCCTTCTCAATTCACAAGTAAAGTCTGTTATAACTTCTTTGTTATGAATGAATATGGACTAGTAGTTTTGGTCACATCACATGCGATGAATTTTCTTCTCTTAATTGTTTGTTTTCCCTCCTCAATTAAGTCGTGTACTTACATGTGCCTAGGCTTTGACTTGTCCTATTTTTTCGTTTATTAATTAGGCAGTAATGTGGTGGAATTATGCAAATGGGTTGACCTAATTATTGAATTCGTAATCGTACGCAGCTATATAGCTATAGAGAATTTTGATTGATTAATTCAAATCTTGAATTAGTATTATTAGGGTTGACAATTATTGTATGGTTTGAGCAATCTTGTACTAATTAGTTATTATTATCCTTAATTAAAGTCGTTGTATTAAATTACCACCTGGGTGCACGAGGCCATTTGCATTGCTAGGTGGCAGGCACCCTTTGGGAAGTTCTTTATAACAATATGACATAGAACTATGGTTATCTCGTGTAGTTATAGTGATATACTCATAAATTATTCTTTTTTTTGCAGAAATTCGTGCCTTTTTTATTCATTGTTATGTAGTTTGAAGATTGATATTGGTTTTTGAGACGAATGAAATTATTAAAATTATGATTTATAGTAGGGCTGGGAATATAGAACATACCATTTGAAAAACCATGTTCAAACCGGACCGTACAGTTTGGTCGGGATCATAGACCGTTAAGTATGATCTGGTCTTATCTATGGTCTGTATTATATGATGCTTTGATCTCTTGGTCTGGTCTGGTCTAGACCGCGGTTTACCGGACCAAATCGTGGACCCAGCCGACTTCTGATCAATACGTGTTACCAGCCCACTAGATCATCTCCCAACTCCCAAAACGATACCCAAGTCTTAATCTTAATTTTGAAAATCTCATCCCCTAATTCATTCACAACCACATTTCACCAGAGAGTAGAAACGATCGTGTCTCCATATGATATAATGTTAATGTTTATGACGTTATTGTGCAAGTTGTGATGCTTTGATATTATATCTTCGTAAGTTACTTTGAGATTTATACCATCAAAATTATTCATGCATGTTGGAATTTATATTTTAAGGCAAAAAAAAACTATTTTTTTCTTGGCTATTGGTTCAATTTTTTGTGTGGTTGATTAATGTTGTCAATGATATACTTATCGAGATCTAAGAGTGATCATGGTAAGGTGTATCACATCCTACTTCAGTGGCCAGATGGCCAAGCACTTAGTAAAGCTCTTAAAGCAAAATTGAAGAGATATACTGGCCGGGTTGACGATCTCACCATCCGTCCAGACTCTCTCACACAAAGTGTCGATAGATTAGAGATGGATAAAAGAAAAGGTCTATATATGACAAATCACGAAGAGATTCGTGGTCCTCATGAATCAGATTGTCCACCGCAAGATTTCATTGTTGACTGGAGGGGAAAAAAAACATTTGTTGAATGACATATATGTGTATGAATAAACGACGATATTCGTCTTCTGCTCGCGCTTAATGAAGGTGAAAAGCAATAACTGAACTTGTATCCTAAACCACCTCTCTCAAACCCCACAAACTTAGCCCCGGTGAATGATCGTTGAACCCTTAATTGGCCTTCCTCCTCATCTTCATCATGAGGAAGAAAACCACTCAAAAGGAAATGAATTGAAACCAATAAAAGATGAAACTATGTCAAACAAAATTTTACAGTTTGACCTTACGGCAAACTGTAGTTTTCTTTCTTCATGGTGGATCCTAATTACAAAAATATTCGGCTCCCCACATTCTGGATGAACCGCTAAGCTAAGCCCACAAACTTGGAAAAGAAAAGGAAACAAATGCGCCAGAGATAACATATCAATCATCCTACTGTTTCTCTTTGTCCTTCTTTTTTTCTGTCTTTTTGGCAACATGCAAACTACCCAATAAAAGAAAACAAAATTTTTTGATATTTCGAAGATGCCTTTGTTCAGTGAATTCACTCTGTTCTTTGTCTTTCGCCTCTCTTCTTGCTCTGCTGCTGCAGTGGTAGCATAGTTGGAAAGTATTTGAGGACTCATTTTCATGCTGTACAATTGGAGTCTTCCCTTTCCTTTCCTTCCCCTGTTTTTTACTTTCTCTGTTCTCTTCTCTAGCTGTATTCATCCTCTGTTTTGCGGGATGGTCAGTGGGGCAGAGTCCCTCTGCAGCTCTGCCACTTGTCCTCCTTTCAGTCGTCCCTTTCTTCCCCAATTTGGGCAATCCCCATTAATGGGAATTGATTTGATTCATGGCTGCTGCTGTTCTGCTGTTCATTATTTTCTGAGGGAAAGTTTGATGGGCAGACCATTCTGGGGAAGAGCAAAAGGACCATACTGAATTCCATTATTGTCACCCACTATAGACCACCTGCCAGCAACACAAGAAAAAAACAGAGTCTCAGCCTTCTCTCTCTTTCTCATTACCCCCAACTTGCCATATTTGGATAGTCAAGAAAAGAAAGAAAGAAAGAAAAAAAGGAAGCAACAGAAGAGGCAGAGAGCTCAATGGTTAACCGACCTGTACTTTGTGGTCAGGTGATGGAGCAGCACTAATATCTCCACCTTGGCGAGCTCATTTCCAGGGCAAGCGTGGGTCCCGCTGCCAAATGGCATGAATGTATTGGGCTTTGGCGCCACCTGTTGATTGGCAATCAAGGGAAGACGAAACAGAAGAAAGCTTATCAGAATCGATGGAGGATTGGGAGGAAACAGACAGGAGATAGTTGTCGCTGTTACTGTTTTACAGTGGCAAGAAAAAGCTTTTTTTACCTCGAATCTGGAAGGGTCGAATTTCTCAGGATCAGGGAAGATTTCTGGGTTGTGGTGAATGTTCCTGAAAAGTGGCAACACTTTCCATCCTTTTGGGATCAGATACCCTGAAAAGTGACAAAAAAAAAAAAAAAAAAAACGAAATATCAGTATCATTCATTCTGTTGCAAAGAGAAATGGATTTTGAACTGAGAAATTAACCCAGAAGAACACTGACCTTCATACTCGACATCTTCAACAGCTTCTCTGAAAGTGAAGGAAAGAATTGATGCAACCCTGAGTGTCTCCTGAATCACACGTGAAGTGATGGGCATCTGCTTTGTATCTCCCCAATTCAGAACTCCCTTCTCCCTGCTAATCATCTCCTTCGCTATCGCCTCTTGTTCTTCCTGCCCAAAACCAAAACACAAAAATTCTGAAATCAGTTCCAGCAATTCTACCCTTTTCCCCTGTTTTATGAATTCTTAAAGATTCAAATTTTTTTTTTGGGAGAAAAAAAAGAGAGAAACTAACTGTGACGGCCTGGAGAACAGATGGGTTGTCACGCAGGTACTTGAGAACCCAGGTGAGAGCACTGGCGGTGGTGTCCCTGGCGGCGAAGATAACTCCGATGACGTTATCGGCGATTTGCTCGTCGGTGAGCCCTTCTTTGTCTTCCATGAAGGAACCCAGAAGGTCGTTGTGGTCCAGCTTCATTTCCCGCCTCGCCGCCATGATTTTCGCCAGGATTCGACCCAGCTCCTTCCTCGCCTTCATCGCCTTGTGGAACAGCGTCCCCGGAAGATTCACCGGCATCGAATTGTAACCCTTTTCCAGGACATAGTAACACCTCTTCAAATCCTCCCCGTGCATAGCTCCATCGTTTCCAAATATCGACAGCAGCGCCACATTGAACGTGTACTGCAAAACCCACAAATCAAAGAACAAAAATTTAGCCTCCCCAATTCTCATTCTTTCCCCTCCAAAAACAGAGTGCTCTGTTTTTTTGTTTTTATGCTCTGTTTTTATCCTATTACCGTTTTCATTTCGAGGTACGTATTGATCTCGTGAGTCGCTTCCCACGAACGGAGAGCATGAACGGCGAGGGATTCGACCTGCGGGACGATGTAATGGAGCGATTGCGGCATGAAAGCTCGGAGGACGAGCTTCCGCAGCTTGGAATGGTAATCCCCCTGGTGGAAAAAGATGGCCTGCCGGCCCAGCATCCGCTCTTTGCTCGCCGGAAATGTGGGCTTGAAGAGGTTCGATTTCGTCACGAGCACGAATTTCGCAGCTTCGGGGCTGGAGATCATGACGCAAGGGCATCCCAGGATGTGGGTCTTGAAGATCGAACCGTACCTGCTCTGTTTCGAGGCGAAGAACACATTGGGATCCTGCGAGTACATCTGGAAAGTCTCTCCGACGTACGGGTACCCGAGGGAGCCCGGCGGGAGGGGCAATTGCGGCCCCCGCCGCCGGCGGAGGAGGAATCGGGTCAGGACGAAGAGGAAAGATGCGAAGATGGCGGCGAGGATGGAGATGGGGAGAACAGGGGAGTTGAAGATATCCATGGATTGGATAAGATTGAGATTAGAGGATAAAGACAGGTAGTGATTGGGGATTGTTTTTCGGGGTTGGGAGTGGAATTGGGAATGGAGAGTGGGAGGAAGGAGAAGATGAATTTATAGGGTTGGTTTGGAAGGGTAGAAATGGGAAATTGGGGGAAGGAAGGAACAGCTTGAAATCCACTCTACACACGGAATCTGAATCCAGCTCATTCATGGGAAGACTGAGACTGACTGAGGAGAACGAGAAGGAAGAAAGTGCTTCTTTTTTTTTTGGCTCCATTTTTCTGTTATATTAGTTTTATTATGTGGGAGTATGGGAGAGAGGGCACGTGGCAGGAAGATAGAAGAGGGGAGGCAAACAGGAAGGTGGCAAGAAAAAGAGTGGAGGGTCAAGAGGGAGCTGTTACTGTAATGAATGAATGAATGAATGAATGCAAGAAAACAAAAAGGAAGAAGAAAGGGAATTTATAAAATTGGGTTTGTGTGAGACAGGAAGAGGGAAGTTGGCAAGCAAGTTGGAGATGGGGGGATTTGACCAAAAGGCTATTTTTGAATGCTAGCAGCAGCATCCAGTCAACTAGGTTAAGGGGAGAAGCATTTGGTACTGTGACAAACATTGTTATCAGTGATGGCAATGGGTCGGGGCGGGTAATATCTGCGCGGGTACGGGGCGGGGCTGGTCGACCCATCCTTATTTGCTATTTGGAAAAAAATACAAGCAAAATTTTAATTTTTACGATAAAACGAATGTGAAAAGACTTCATGAATGGATAATAGTGATAATATAATGGTTAATTGAGTCTATTTAGTTGAAAGGTCAAGTCTGACTAGTTAATCTTGACCTAGAAAGTCAAATTAGGAGATATATGCATGGATGACATAAGAAATTGACTTAGAATGGGCCAAGAACAGGGCGGGTCGGAAGTTGGTACCCATGCCCCGTCCCACTCTACTGCGGGTCGGGTAATACCCGCCCCATCGCGGATCAGGTCGGGTAAAACCCGACGGGGCGGGTTCAAATTGCCATCCCTAGTTATCACTATAGTAATTGGGATATGCTATGTTGGGATAGAAGTGCATTATGGTTCATTATGCACCTTCAGTGAGGTTCAACATGCTCCACAAATCCACAAATAATCACATGATATCTTGCAGTCTACTTAATTAACAAGTAAGGGTTTCAATCTCAAAGGGATAAAATTGGAGTGGTGTATGTCTACAAGTGTTTCGAGGTGGTTTTGGAAGGTGTGACTTCCGAATTCCTTGTATGTTTCGCAAGATTTTGTAGGTTTTGTTGTTGTTGTTATATTCACCAGGTAGGTTTTACATGACAAGTTCCAATCTTGGTTAGAATCGATGAATGTTTGGAAATGTTGATAGTCTTTAAGGGTATTCTACAACAACACAGGCTTTGTTGCACCTGAGGACTTGGATGAGATTCTAGGTATATCGATAATTTTTACTGCATCAACGTAAAAAGATATATTTGTTTTCAGTTCTAAACAATGTAGTTAAAAGCGCGTTTCTAAGTAGAAACGTCTCGGTGATCTAGAAGTGTAAAATCATAAGTTTTTAAGTTTTAAAACGCGTTTTAAACTACATTAGCTATAAAAACCGTGATATTGCATAGAAGCGTTTTAGTGATCTAAAAACGTAAACCCATAAGTTTTTAAGTTTTAAAGCGCGATTTTGACTATATTGATTCAAAATTTCATTCTCTCACTTACATCCAACTAAATGACTTCTTAAATACATCTAACAATTTTGACTGCACCCGAGTACATTATATGACGATTCGAATTGCATATCTTATGTTTGACAATTTCTAATTGCATCTGGTATGATACTGTGATCAACTCTCAATTACAACATGATTTCGAACACTTTCACATAGCAATTTCACTGTGAAATTTGCAAGCTTATATATATATAAAATATAAAAAGGGAAAATGAAGAAAGAAAAGGTGGTTGGGTTGGGTCCATTATTGATTGGTATATATTGCTTTCATTTCTGTCTTTGTGCTTCTCTGTCTCTGTGGACTGAAAATGGGGAGTATGATCCGTACCACAGCCTTTTGGCATTTGCATGCAATTTTTTTTGTCCTTTTTATTCATTCCTTCCCCAATTTATTTTGCTTTCGTATTGGGACCGCCTTTAACTTTTAAGCGTGTTCGTCTCCAATAGGCATGGCAATGGATCGTGTTAGGCGGGTTTTATCAAATCCAAATCTAAATCCATGAGTTTATCTGCAAAATAAAATCTAGGTAAAACCCGATGGGTTTGAAAAACTCAAACTCAACTCAACCCGCTGGATATCCGCGGGTTCATGGGTACCCGTGGGTTTTTGTGGTAAAAATTTACAATAACAAGTTTTTTTCAAAATAAAAGTTTAACATCAATTTTCTCATACAAAAAACACAAATCTAGAGCATACGGGCAAACCACAAATGATCAAATGCAAATTGTTCAAAATTAAAGATAAACATCTATAAACAATAAGATTAATTGAAAACTTCTTCCTCGTCAACTAAGTTTCTTCACTCTCCATTTCATAATATCAACTTCATTCTAAACAATTAGAAAGAACAAATTATACATGTCTCCACAAACATAAAGAATATTAGTTGTTTAAGGAAGATATATTATTTAGAATATTAAATATACCGGGAAAGTAATTATATGTGTGTGGGCGGGTATCCATGGGACAGGTTTACCTAAACCCAAACTCAACTCGACCCAGTGAATAATGTAGCGGGTTTAAACCCGAACCCGGCCCAAAACCCGTCAACATGAGTTTTACCCGCGTTGACCGGATTGGATAGGGTGGGTACATGTGGATTCGGGTTTTGTTGCCATCCCTCCCTACTCTCCATGTCCCAACCGTATAACAAACACAGCCAAATTTCCTCAACTACTTGCCCTTAATAAAAGCTTCAATTCATTAATGGCCCCTCCTTTTTTTTTCCCTTTCATTCTTCTTTTTCATTACGTCGTCTTTCTTTACATGCAGAATGCAACCGTATAATATTTGCCCTTTAACTTCTCCTCTTGATTGCCTATCGTGGCAAACCGAGCTGCTGCGTGATTTCGATCTGGAGAAAAATACCGTTTAGGTGATTTGGTGCTATTTGGTATGTTGGATGCTTTTCAATTCGAATTGAAGTCGTCGATATAGTTACGTTTCTCCATTCAATCAATTTTAGGGTTTAGAGTTTAGTTATTGAAGTTTAGATATGCGGGTGAAACGCGCCATGACATTTAATAAAGTTAAATGATTGTTACTACTTACGCTTTGCACCTCCTCAAATAACTAATGTACGAAGAGGGAGTTCGATGTATAGAGAGACCCGCCTACATTATGTTATACGAGTCTTATAAAGATTTCTCGGGAGTTTCTTGACTACGGTAATTATGGTTGCGACTATGGAGCATGCTTTGAGAAAGCGCAGAGCTCCGCAACTACGATTACACGGGAAAAGAAGGAAAAAAATGATAAAAATCTAACACTTTAATCAAATCTCACATCGACAAAGTACGAGAGATATCGATTTGTAGGACATAAGAAACAACTCAATCTTAACCGACAAGGCGCTTTTTAAAGTGAAATTGATGAGATCTTACAAGAACTCTGAATGTGTTCAACGTGAAACAATATATACAGAGATGAGTCATCTCTTATATACCTGATCATGGCAAATGAAACGGCTTGAGAACCTTTCTCGATCGATCAACTTGAGTATACGTATTACATATACATGGATCGCATTGATTTTTGTATACGTTAATACGTACGTACGGTCGTCGTCGGTTGCATGCATGTCGCCACGTGGATGATAATGGATGAGGTTGTGGAGCAATTACTAATTTGCACGTATACACAGACATCGTCCAAATGCTTCACTCTCCAAATTCATGGATTCGAGATGAAAGTTAACCAATGAGCTCATTCATGTATCATGGAGCAATTACTAATTTTCTATATTTTTCTATATTGAGTGAGAGATCTGTTAAGAAGTAGTTGATTCAGATAATTCGAATTATTGGAAGAGGTTCAATCGTAGATCTTATATTGTTTACCAATACACCCGTTCAAACGAAAGTCGTCATATATGGGGGCTTGAAGTTTGCACATGTCCGGACACCATGTGCTTAATTAATAGAAGCGAATGAGGGTCTCATGGGGATTCGGAACAGAAAACCTCTCGCGATGATCACAGAAGGCTCGTCCAATACCATGTCAATAACAAATTGATCCCAATATATAACTCGAGTTGTTGGAAGAGGTTCAATCGTTGATCATATATATATATACACCATTTACTAACATCTGCATATCTTTATACATTAATAATGTAATGGGATGATTCAACCTCAATTTTGTTAAAGTGCCGAGTAGCTTAAAAAAAATATGTTCTTTTCCTCGAGTACAAGTATATGTTTGACTGTTGAAATGTGAATATTGTTTAATACTAAGGATAATCTAAATGACATCCAAATCATAAGGGAATCGACTATATTTTTGGAAGATAAATTGTTGATTATACTCCTAAAACGTGTTTAGCTAGTAAACCCTCCTTTAAAGAAGGGGAATTCAAAGGGCATATGCTGCTATAAATAGCATAGCTGCCCGACCCCAAAAAAATAAAAAGAAACACACACACGGAAAGAAGAGAAGAAACAAATACAATATAAGTGTTCTTCATAGATATCCTTATTTTCGCACGAATAAATGAGAATTGAGTGTGATTGTTTTATCCTTGAGGAGGCCGTTTGATAGTCTAATGTGCACGGTTAGTAGGTTATATGCCACACACGTCTTAAAGAGAAACAAATTAATCCGTGACTACCAGTTCGATTTGTAACATAGTGTCGGACGAGGCCAGGTAATTGGCCATCAATTTGGTATCTCTCTCTCTATACATAAACATGCTCTAATCACGATAATTACCATGGAGTTCCTACGTACTGAAGTGGGTCGTTCCCGAAAATAAACGTTCTCCTTTTTCTCATTTGGAAGAATGAAGCAAAAAAGGAGAATCTTACACGAACATTTCCTTCTCTTCGAGTAACTCTAGACCTTCCTCATCGATGTTTTCTTGCACCCATATCCCTCTCGCCAGAAAGATGAACTCTTAGCTTTTTCCCCATATCCTTACTTTATATCATTACTTTATAAGGAGATCGACCAGATCACACACTAACGATTCGAGTTATTTGGGAGAAGTTCAATAATTGATCTTATACCCTTTACTAACACGAGACATCATAATGAAACGGACATTGATGAGTTGTTGAGTTTGCCAGTTTGGAGCAAAATGTGGTGGCATTGTTTTCTTTGTCCTTATGCCTAAGCCAATCATTAGTCAAATTCAAAGCTTCCTTCCAGCTCCAGCCCCTGGGAATTAAGAAGAAGAATACGAAAGTCTTTTGTTTTTATATTTGTAATAGATGCATGTGATGGAACTAATGTAATGTGGGTTAATTAATGCCTTTGAAGATGAATTATTAATTAATAATTAATAATTAAAGATCGACAGAAACCAAACCAGGATGGTATCCCGGTTTTGGGTTTGCAACTTGCGACTTAAATTTCACTCTCTGTTTCCCTTCTCTTTTTGGGAAGTTCTGGTTTTAATTTGCAAGTTGTTTTTATACACAACAAGTTGGAACTTTTCAATGCATGGATGGGCCGTTGTTATAATTAATGAAAGGACAGATGGTTAACCCCATTCTCCCCTTCCTTGATTAATAGTCCATCATCATTACGCAAAGTCAACGATATAATAATCGTTACTAACTCCAGTAATTAATACATTGATTAGTTCGAGTTCAATTAATTAGCAGTTGTCAACTCGTGTTTAACAAGTTTAAGTGCATGCACTTTGGATCGTTAGGCTGTCCATTTTATTACAGTTTTTGTCTTCTGTGCTACCTGCACACCGTACATACAACAAGGGAGTTTTATTTATTTATTTATTATTATTATTATTATTATTATAAACCGGTGTTCAGTTTTATTAATCGATCAAAAGAATGTTAATGTTGCATCATCCATTCGAAACTGATCAATAAGAAAGAATAAGGGTTGATCGGTCGACTCAAATATTTGGAGCGTCCTCCAGTCATGGTAGTGTGAATGTCGTACAAATCTCTAGCAATATAGTTTTCTCTGAATCAATTTCTTATGGATAGTGACAAACAATCAGCCTCGACCGCAAACATTTGTAAATCACATTTTCGATAATTGGATTCCAAAATCCATGGCGCAAGAGCTCCAGGGCTATCGCCGCACCCTAGTTTCCCCCCGACTCGCTTCGCTCCCAACAAAAGGAAATAGCCAACAACATCACGTATCACTACTCCCGAGCATTATCATATGTTAACTGTGTGTCTGAACAACTGTTTTGACACGAAGTTTTGTAGTCGCGACAGACATAGTATGTTCCTAGCTCCCATCCCTTTCAAGATTCTACGGATTTGATCTTTAAGCTCTCAAGAACTAACTCCTTCTTTGACCACCACCATCCCCAATTCGTCGCCGGCCTCCTATTTCCTTGTCTCGAGAACATTGCCACTATATGATGGTTCCGATTTGGTAACATTAACCATTTGTCTCGACTCAAGCTCTCGTAAATCCTTCGGTCACAACTAGAAGTTGTGAAATCGTCCCGTTTCTATATGAGTGAGTAAAAATTTCACATTTGGGTTGGTATATGATGCGATATTAGACTAGAGAAATAGCTCGAGAAGACGTTGTGGGCTGAAGATCTCTCTCTCCCTCTAATTCTTTCAGTTGCTTAGATGTCGATGGAGAGAGAGAGAGAGTATAACATGATTACTCGATCGTACGTTTGTTATGGAGGTATAATGCACCAAATCGAAAGTTACCTATAAGGAAAAGGCCACTAAACCCATAGGTCCACTTTGTGATAGTATTATAGCTAGGAAATCGCATGACCTAAAAGAATAAAGAAAGCCACAAAAGTCATGATGCTGATGATCCAAGTCATTGCCCATATACATTTCTTGTTGTGTTTCATTTCCTCCCTTTTTCCTTAAGATCTCTTCATGAGATTTTGCCGTTTTGCAACTTGTGATAAAAGGTGGATACCACTATAGCTTGCTACTTGTGCTCAAAAAGACCTCATCAAGATTTATATGCACAAACACATCCCATAACGAAGCCGCCCACCACACTTAACAAAATGGAGAGAAAGTGAAAAGAAGCTGGCAAACAATAATCGTCCAAGAAGCTGCAAACTATATAATAATCATCTAGACGGCTGGGTTTCGTTTTCAAAGGAAACACGTACAGCTGGGAGAAAGTGCATGGCCCAAAAAAGAGAGCATGTGGCGAGTACGAAGTCGATTTGCCTATCACCTCAACTTAGACATATTCCTTATTTTCATTAAATGATCAAGAAGGTAACCACAATATGATAAAATGTAGTTAGAATATTGGAGAAATTGAATACGGTAGCTAAAATATGAGACAATAAGAGGAAAATACCAAGTAATTTGAGTTAGATTACATGTAATTCAGGCAAGAACGGGTAGAGAATGGGGCGGGTGATCAGGGCAGGTCGTGTCGACGAGAGGTTACTCATTCCCGCCCCAAAGCATGCTAAACATGTCGGGTAAAACGGGTCAGATCAAAATTGACATCCCTACTTCCTAGTAGACGCGTTGGTATGACGAACACCCCCCCACTCAAAAGGGAGCATGTCGTGAGTCGCGACTAATTGACATGGAACGTTGGATGCGCCTATCACCTCATAAGCTCTAATGATGGTTCCGCATTCGAAAGAGGGTCTATGGAGGAGAAGAAGTCCACCGTTTTGATTCAAACCTGCGATCTACAATTAAAAAGTAGCGAGAATACTGTTGGACTCAACCCTCGTCCGCGCTAACAGCTGAGATGAAACATTTGATATGATAAAGTGCAATAGGATTAGTTGGAAGCCATTACCTAATCACTTACGATACTTTTACTATGAATACAAATAATTTAGTTAATCGGATAATCTACATGGAAAATGACACTGATCAACCCGAGAAAAGTCGTACATTAAAAAATGGTTTACACAACATCACTCATAGATTAGCTGCCATCTTTTTGTTGGCTTTCTTGAGCATAAATACCATTAAAAATAAACTAGTTTTTAGCTTTATAGACTAAATTGCAAACTGATCACTTATTTAATTAGGGACAATGGGGAAAAAAGCAAAGCAGCTTGGCTAGCTGTTTCCCTCCTTTTCTCGGAAAGGGTTCCACTCCACACTGACTCAGCCTGACCACCCTCATCTCTTTTACTGTTAATATCTTAATAAGGTAAACCAACAATTAATTAATTAATTAATGATAGCAGTTAATCTAAGCAACATTATTTAATAAATTAACTAATCATCCTATTTAATATGATTAAGCTGCCAATCTGTCATCTTGTCCTCTCTTAGATACTTTATAAAAAAAAAACTGCTTAGTGCTTAATCAGGTGGTCTGGTGGCTAGCTAACTGACACATGCAGAGTACTAAATACAAAGAACTGGGTTTTGGTTTTTTTTTTATTAATGAAAAGGAATAAGGCCACGTGTAAGAACATGATTTGAGGTACACATTTGTGTACGTACGTAATGTACGCATATTCTCCACTATTTTTCCCCCCTCTTTTTTTTTTGTTGGCTTTTGCCGGCCTTCAATATTTAAACGTAATTAATTCTGTTAAGGTTGCTTTTAGAAGTCGTTTAAGTTAACATTAATAAATCTTTGCTGATTAGTAAATGAGATTTATGAAATATTGTATGAAAAGAGACGGAATTATCTAATATGTGTTATTTAAATGTGTTATTAGATACACGCTAAATGCACACTTGCCAACTAAATCTCCTACCTAAATTAAATTCGATTATCTCTTATTCCCTTAACAACTAATAATTACTAATTTATCAAGTACTAATTATTGTTCCTAATTATCGCACTAATAGTAATAAATACCTCTATCATACCGAGTAATCATTTTATGGAAGTCAATAAAATAAAATAATATTTAGCAAGAAAATTTAGAAAAAATGACAGAAATAAATATTACACAAATTTATAAAACACAAGTGGGCTGCTAAATATAAACAATGAAAGCAGCATCCATCCAGTTCACGTCGGCGTACTAATGGGCTACACCAACATGCATGGGATGGATGATTTTGGAATATAAAACAAAGAAGGATAAGTCAAAACGGCAGACAATGCCAGTTGGATTTTGGCCTCAATTGTTTCTACCAATAATAATAATTGTGGTCCTTGTTGGAAATTAACATAATAATAATGATGATGATGGACTAGTTTTTATTTTCTTGTAAAAAACAATGGACTTCTATTCACCGGTTAACTTTCAAAAAGCAAAAAAATACTTCGAAAATTCGTCATTGTCGTCAAAATCTCGTTTTAAAGGTTAAAAGTTTGTTGTTTTATACTTCTAGATTCTCAAAACGCTTCTACGTAGAATCCCATTTTTTCCAGTTAAAGTGTAGTCGAAATCTGTACTCTAAAAGTTAGAAATTTATAATTTTACGCTTCAAAATCACGAAAAAGCTTATGCATTTCTAAGTCATCAAAATACTTCTACGTAAAATTGCCATTTTGACTGCATTGCTAATCCCCACGCCTTCAATCAGTAGCTAGCGGTGATGTCTTTTGCAACTCCGGCGGCAACACTCTCTCCCTTCTCTGTTCGTTTGCGGTGGTTTCGGATCTCTCATAGCTGCTCGCCCTCCCTGCTTTTCTAAATTTTTTTTGTTTTTTTGCCATAGATAGATCGTAAATAGATAGGGCATTACAAATTCTTGAAAAGTAAAAACGGTAGTCAACCTAGTGTTGAGCTACCGATGCAAGGGTTGTTTATGTCACTAAATGGGCAACCCTGTTAGTATGCCTAGAACCATAAATAATCGAATAAACGCAAAGAAAATCTTCCTTCGGCAAACTTCTTGAAAGCACCCATCCGCCGAGAACAAACTTTCTTATCTCCTATACGTCAAGTTCCAATAGGCTAACAGTAGAGTTGAAGTGCAAGTTACCTGCAAGAAGAACACACAAACCACCCCTAAAAAAACAAATCAAAATTCAAGTACCAACGAACCTCTACCACCGAAGTTGCTCCACAAGCTATATGAACTACTCTGCCTAAAGTGAGGCATATTTGGATGCGAAAGGTCGCAACGACAAATCCGTTAATCATGGTCCATTTCCCACGAGCCCGTAACTAAAGGAGCAGGCCCACTTCTACCTGTTGGGTTTCACTTTTTAGCTCGGCCAGCGACTCGGTCTTTCCTTGACCGGCCTTTTATTTGGGTCGTGACAGGAGTAGGCCCATCGAACTGAGGCTGGATTAAAGGCAGCCTATAACATTCT